TCATTTTCATTTGTGTTCTGAAATCTCTGTCTAATGCCGTAACAGTTCATTTACTTTTTTCCTTATTATACAACATTATAAATGAACTCCACTTACAGAAAATGAAGAGGCAATATTCAGATGATGTCATTATTATTTTATACCTGTGTGTGTTCTTGAACTTCAAAAAGAAATATTATGATTTAATTTGGTGAGATGCACTCATTTTCATTTGTTGGTTGTTTTCTTGTGCGGAAGATTAATTTTCACTTGCTGATTGTTTTCTTGGTAGTCCTCTAAATGATATGTAAACTGATAGGTAGATGTTTAGCCAGTGGCATGAAATTCATTCAAGAGATATCTGTTATCTATTGATGTTTATTATGGATAATGAAACCCCCTAAGTGGATTCCTTTGTCTAGTGATAGATATGGAATAATTTATTCTAATGCCGCCGCACGTATGAAGATTATCTAATTTGAATTAATTTTCTACTGTTGGTAGTCCTCTAAATGATATGTAAACTGATAGGTAAATGTTCAGCCAGTGGCATGAAATTCATTCAATAGATAACTGTTGTCTATTGATGTTTAATAGGGATAATGAAACCCCCTAAGTGGATTCCTTTGTCTAGTGATAGATATGGAATAATAAGATGATCATATTAGAATTTTTTGTTTTTCCTTCCTGTTGATTGTATTTATGTTCTGAAGATTGTATTGGTCTAATGCTATCGCACATGTAGTCCTCTAAATCATATAGGTATTCATTCAAGAGATAACTACTGTCTACTGTTCAAGAGACAACTGGAAATAAAGAACCCCTGTCTAGTGATAGATATGGAATAATTTATTCTAATGCCGCCGCACGTATGAAGATTATCTAATTTGAATTAATTTTCTACTGATTGTTTTCCTCTAAATGATATGTAAACTGATATAAGGTAGGTAGATATTTAGCCAGGTTCCACTAGCAAGAAATTCATTCAATAGATAACTGTTGTTTATTGATGTTTATGTGGGATAATGAAACCACTGTGGATTCCTTTGTCTAGGGATGGATATGAAATCTATAAAAGATTTGTTAGAGAAGATGTTGGACCAAGTTCAACATCAACATACTGGGAAATCCAAAGATGTATACAAAATCATAGGGAAGCTAGAGCATATTAAATCATATATTTTAACCCAAGGTAATAATCAAACAATCTTTATAATTTAATAAGTAGATTTTTAGTCTTTGAGCTTTTTTAACTGATCAAATTTTTTTTTTTTTTTTGATAAAGCAATGCATAGCAATGTATTTTCTGGACTTTCTTACCTTCATTCACCTCCACCTCATCAACCTTCTCCTCCAATAGCTGACCAACAAGCATTAGTATCAAATCAACAAACAATATTTGGGCCAACAAGGTCTAAAAGGTAAAAAGAACAAACTAAAAGGTCTTCAGTGCAAATATTATTATAAAACGTACACAGATCCCAGAGGTAAAAAATGCGTTGTTAATATACCAAAACTTGCTTAACAGATTTTTGTTGGAGAGGGTAGCCATTTCACTTAAGCATTCTCATTCTCATCTGAATAAGCTTCAAATCCTTCTTTTTTCTCATTTCTTAGCTAAAAAATTGATGTTTTTGTGTTAAAAGATGAAGAGTAGGTTCTGGGCTTTGCTAAATAATTGATGTTTTTGTGTTAAAAGATGAAGAGTAGGTTCTGGGCTTTGCTAAATAATTGATGTTTTTGTGTTAAAAGATGAAGAGTAGGTTCTGGGCTTTGCTAAATAATTGATGTTTTTGTGTTAAAAGATGAAGAGTAGGTTCTGGGCTTTGCTAAATAATTGATGTTTTTGTGTTAAAAGATGAAGAGTAGGTTCTGGGCTTTGCTAAATAATTGATGTTTTTGTGTTAAAAGATGAAGAGTAGGTTCCGGGTATATATGCTTCAAATCCATTTTTTTCTGATTTCTTGTGTAAAAAAAATGATCTTTTTGGTAGAAGATGATCAGTAGCTTCTAGGTTCACACAAATGAAGCCATTGTTTGATTTGATAGCATGTATTTCTTGTTATTTTGTTATGTGTAGTTGAATTTGAAAAATGAAATGTTAGACTTCATGAGTTTCATTTTCATTTGTGTTCTGAAATCTCTGTCTAATGTCGTAACAGTTCATTTACTTTTTCCTTGTTATACAACATTATAAATGAACTCCACGTACAAAAAAGGAAGAGGCAATATTTAGATGATGTCATTATTATTTTGTACTTGTGTGTGTTCTTGAACTTCAAAAAGAAATATTATGATTTAATTTGGTGAGGTGCACTCATTTTCATTTGTTGGTTATTTTCTTGTGCGGAATATTGATTTTCACTTGCTGATTGTTTTCTTGGTAGTCCTCTAAATGATATGTAAACTGATAGGTAGATGTTTAGCCAGTGGCATGAAATTCATTCAAGAGATAACTGCTGTCTATTGATGTTTATTAGGGATAATGAAACCCCCTATGTGGATTCCTTTTTCTAGTGATAGATATGGAATTATAAGATGATCGTATTCAGATTTTTGGTTTTTGTTTCCCGCTGATTGTATTTATGTTCTGAAGATTGTATTGGTCTAATGCCATCGCACATGTATGCCTCTAAATCATATAGGTATTCATTCAAGAGATAATTGTTGTCTATTGTTCAAGCGACAATTGGAAATAAAGAACCCCTGTCTAGTGATAGATATGGAATAATTTATTCTAATGCCGTCGCACGTATGAAGATTATCTAATTTGAATTAATTTTCTACTGATTGTTTTCCTCTAAATGATATGCAAACTGATATATGGTAGGTAGATATTTAGCCAGGTTCCACTAGCATAAAATTCATTCAAGAGATAACTATTGTCTATTGATGTTTATTTGGGATAATGAAACCTTTGTAGATTCCTTTGTCCAGGGATGGATATGAAATCTATAAAAGATTTGTTGGAGCAGATGTTGGACCAAGTTCAACATCAACATACTGGGGAATCCAAAGATGTATACGAAATCATAAGAAAGCTAGAGCAGATTAAATCATATCTTTTAACCCAAGGTAATAATCAAACCATCTTTATAATTTAATAAGTAGTTTATTTGTCTTGGTACTTTTTTTACTGATAAAATTTTAATTATTTTTTTTGATAAAGCAATGCATAGCAATGTATTTTGTGGACTTTCTTCCCTTCATTCACCTCCACCTCAACAACCTTTTCCTCCAATAGCTGTCCAGCAAGCATTAGTATCAAATCAACAAACTACTCCTCTGTTAGCTGGCCATCAAGTAATGACACAGGCAGTAGACTCTGTGGGACAACCAACACCAATGGTGGTTCAAAATCCAGCATCAAATCCACAGCCAGCTGGCCCGTTTGTCTGGCATCCAGTACATTGGCAAGTAGTTGATGAGAATCTGTTTGAAGCCGTTGACGAGCCTGTTCTATGTTTCAGCAAGCTGGTCAATTCAGAAAAATCACAACAGCTGCTTACTGTTCCACATGATAAAATACAGTACTTCGAGAAAGGAAGCCCTCCTTCCTCATATGCGCATTCTCCTCTGTTTTCAGGCATGACCCTACCTGTTACAATACGCAGTAGAAAACTAGAAAGCATGATTGGTGGTGCGCCAGGATTGTTGTTACACTGCGCAGTAGTAAACTAGAATGCATATATATTGGCCCTCCGTTGGCAAGTATTTTAAGGGATCAACCATGATTGATGTGTGGATTCAATGGAAAAAATATGGTCCGAGACATATGCTAATAGTCAAAGTTGAAGAGCATGGTAAATAGTTAGGACTTCATGTTTTTTGTCTTCTTTATGATTCTTTCATAGTTTTTTGTTTAACTTTGTTATTCTCTTGCTCGTCCATTTGGAGCAGGAGCAGGAACAGGGCCATCTGGAGCTGGAGCAGGGCCATCTAGAGCTACAGCAGGGTCATCTGGAGCCGGAGCAGGGCCATCTGGAGCTAGAGCAGAGCCATCTGGAGCTGGAGCATCAAAACGTCCTAAACTAGGTGGCATTTGAAGAGACTACGAATTTATGTATCACAGATGTAATTTTCATTTTGTCCGAACTTCATTCTCTCTACCTGTTATATGGTAAGCACTATATCTAATATGTTTACATGTTGTAAGCACTATATCCATTCTGTCTACCTGTTATATGGGAAGCACTATATATTCTGTCTACCTGTTATATGGTAAGCACTAGAATAGATCAAACATAAAAAATAAAGGCTCTATGTGTGAAGTCAACCTACATGTACACTGCAGAGTATTCATAATCATTTCATAAAGAGTTTCAGTATTTATCGAGCAAAGATCATACATAGTATTTCACGGGTACCTTGTATATTTGGACAATTTTTAAAAATGTTTGCACGTCTACCTTTTTTATGGCTTAAAGTTGATGCATTTCCGAACGAAGTTAAGGTAAAAATAGTTGAACTTTAGTTTTAAGTGAATGAAATTCGTATGCCTGAAATCTTAAGCCATATATGCTTGAACTTTAGTCATATGAAACTTGAGACATTTTGTTCGAACCACATGTCTGAAGTTGTTTCAAAGTGGGTAGCAATATTAGTATGTATGTACACACAAATATTACTTTAAGAACTTGGAGTTAGTGAACTTAGGCTTATAAAGACTATAAACAAAACGAATTGAGCCTACGGCTCCCATTCCCTGTATGAATGTAATGTAGTAATATATATAATATCCTTATTTACCAAAAAAAAAGAATTGTATATGATTTTAATTAACTGCACTAATAATAACGAAATTCCTTTTCAAATATGTGAAAAAATCATCATAATCAATCTAAAGAGTCGAATACCAAGAAACTATTAAGGTCACAAATAGACAAACAATCACACATTAAAATTTAAGATTTTAAAGAGTCAAATTCCAAATCTTAATTTATCAATTTGACCAAATAAACTATGTCAAGGTTACAAGATAACTAAAAGTAGTCTAATTAGAAAAGTGCAACATTTTCATGTGTGATATGCTGCTTCATTAATAGTTACATGCAGATCCTCCTCCATCTTGATGAATCATAGCATCGATTTCATCACCGTTTTTTAATCCAAGCTTCATAAAACATACACAAAATAAATTTATGTAATTATTAAGTCAACGATAAATTAAATTACGCAAATTAAAATCTTACTTCATTTACGGTCTTCTTTGGAGAAAGACGTTTGCCATCAAAGAAAAATCGAAATATTTTATAGTTCATCATTTGTTTTTTTGAACTGTATGACATGAATATATCCTTCATAATTGTACTGGGATTCACTTTGAAATGAAGAATTGTATCATCCTACAAAAAAATAAAAATATAGCCCATGTAAACTCGAAGTCTGAATAAGATAGAACGTACATAGTTTAAAACAATTTAATTAGGAAAGGAGAAAACATATAAAAGTATAAAACAATTTCAAAGACTAAAAGTGCATTTATACAACAACAAATATATAGCCCATGTTCTCTCGGAGTCTGAAGAGGATTGAACGTATGCTGACTAAAAAGTGTATATCTATAAGTATATAACTCACAATAATACAAAAAAAAAGTATGAAATGATGAACCTGAGCTTTGATTTTGAGCTTTATGAATTTTGTTGATCCTTCTGCCATTTTTTCCCCCAATTTTCTGGGAAAATTTTGAGAAATAATAAAAGATACAAATAATTGGTGTAATTTAAACATAAAGTAATAAAGTGTACCCTTTTGTCCTCATTAGCTAGTAAGTATTAGTATAGATAATGCTTTATTCTGTTTTCTGTATAATTTCCATTTTCATGTAACTTTTACTAATTATTGCTCAAAGTGTTGAAAGAAAAAAAGACCGCACATAAATAAAAATAATAGTGTAGAGAACATAAATTAAGTAAAATAACAAAAAAATATACAAAATTTGGTTAACTAGTCCAAACAAAACTACCCAAAAAATATTACTCCCTCCGTCCCATTTTATATGTCACCTTTTTACTTTGCACTTGCATTAAGAAATGATGTAGCTTTACCCTTTTACCCTTATTTAATGTTTTCTTAAGTCAACTTTATTAATAAATGACAAAATTAATTAACTATTCTATCAAGGGTATAATAGGAAAAATATGATAATTTATACATAAATGTTATAAAATGACAAGTATTGTGGTCCAGCTATTTATAGAAAGGGATGACATATAAAATGAGACGGAGGGAGTAAAACATAACCTTATAACATACCCCCTCCATTCCTTTTTATATTGTCACCTTTTTAATTTGCACTCGCATTAAGAAAATTAAGTAACTTTACCCTTCTACTCTTATTTAATGTTTTCTTAAGTCAACTTTATTAATAAATGACAAAATTAATTAACTATTCTATCAAGGGTATAATAGGAAAAATATGATAATTTATACATAAATGTTATAAAATGACAAGTATTGTGGTCCAGCTATTTATAGAAAGGGATGACATATAAAATGAGACGGAGGGAGTAAAACATAACCTTATAACATACCCCCTCCATTCCTTTTTATATTGTCACCTTTTTAATTTGCACTCGCATTAAGAAAATTAAGTAACTTTACCCTTCTACTCTTATTTAATGTTTTCTTAAGTCAACTTTATTAATAAATGACAAAATTAATTAACTATTCTATCAAGGGTATAATAGGAAAAATATGATAATTTATACATAAATGTTATAAAATGACAAGTATTGTGGTCCAGCTATTTATAGAAAGGGATGACATATAAAA